TCTTTAGCTGTTCCTGTAGGTGGTTCAAATCCCAAGCATCCAGTGCTAGGCCTGGTTCTCCGAGGACTGGTCATCTCCTTATGTTCAGGGTTTTAGACAAATCCCTAAGATGTCCAGGGGAAATGGTGGTTACCTGCTCACGTTCTTAGGTCCACAGGAGCACATCCAGGAGCGTGGCTGTGGTGCTGACTTCCCAGCTCTGTTCTCCTTTCTGAGACAGGCCCACTTCCTACAAAGCAGCCACTGTTGAACTGTTAGTTCAGGATGTTTGCTGATGCTGGGTCGGATCTGTTTCTCAATAAGCGTTTATTCTAATTCATTCTCAACAACAACAGAACAAACAAAAAACATTCCTTGAACTTCCAGAACTTCTCATATTACTGCTGCATGTGATGGTTTCTAGACCTCTCGCTATAATTTGTCTGAGGCCCTTCTCTTCCTGTCACAGACAGATGCTGACGATAGCAGCTATCTCTGTCGCTTGTTCAGTCTCAGGTCCGCTCTGCCGTCTGTCGCTGGTGTCCCCTGAAATTGTTGTGACTGAGGTCGCTGATGACCCATTTGAAGTAGACTCTACAGTTCTCTTCTTTGCCGAGCAGTGCAAAACACACACCCTGAGTTTTAATTGTTTGGCATCTTTCAGAGATTTGTTTTCATTTTGAAGCAGTCTGAAACTTGGGAGGTGGGGGAGTTGTAACATAAAGATGTGTTTCTTGAATTACTTGGGTGTGAACTGCAGACATGACTCTCCATTACCCTCACAAAGACATTCTCCCCACTCCGCACATCAGCAAATTAGACGGAGCTATCGCAGCCTCCCCTCCGCTCTCCAGCTTCATTCGAGCTTCGCAGGTTACCCCAGAAGGGTTGCTGGCAGTCCAAGGGCCAAGCTCTGGGTCCTGTCTCTTTCACATGTTTCATGGTAGGACACACTCCAAATTTCCTTGACTTTGATGACCTTAGTATTTCTGAAGAAGATAGCAAGTTATGCTGCTAAATTCTCTCAATCCGAGTTTGTCTATTTCATCAGGATTACAGTCAACAAACCGTAGTGCTTATTGCTAGAAAAATTGAACTTGCAAACCAATGTCCGCTTGTCGTATGTGTTCATTACTATCCTGTTACTTTCCACAAAGACTGCTTGGGCTGTCAGAGTTGAAGAATGGATATATGGATAACCATACCGACTATGTATCAACACTTGTACTTACTTATGTTTGTGTGTGTGTGTGTGTGTACATACACACCTACACACACACACAAAATCTAGTTCTATTCATTCCAATCCAGCCTCAATCCCTGAATTCTGAGTGGAGTTGCTGAACAGGTTCCCTCTTTCTGTCAATTTATAGTTGATTTTTAAACATGTAAAGACTCAACTAAATAAAACTTTGCACTTTGAATATTAATTTTACTCATGAATCATATCTTCCCCAAAAGTTTACTAAAGCAAAATATCAAAATAAAGGTCTTGGTCTTCAAAAGTTTAGTATCTTATTTTTAAAATAAGCTGTTGATAATGCCCTAATTGTCCAACACCTAAGGGATTCGAGAATTTTTTTATGGTGTATTAGCTAAATGAGCTTTCATAGTCATTGTGCTTCATTAAATGCAAATTTAAGATGAAACCAAAATGGAAGATGAACCTGTCTTGATTGGAAAGAGCAGGAAAAATGTATGTGCACTAGGGCTGTAAATACTTAAAAGGCTGGGAGTGATGGTCTGCTTAATTCCAGTACTCTGGAGGCAGACAGAGGAATCCTTGGGCATTCCAGTCCAGCCTGGTCTCCATAATGAGTTCTATGTCAGGAAGGACTACACACAGTCTCTAAGTAAGAAAATAAATAAACCTAGAAAACCCATAAATACGTGAACATATTGGAGAAGGAAACCAAGCTAGCTTGTTGGATGGAGACTAAAGGTTGAATGCCAATTGTAAAGCCCTCTATGATATAAATAAAACTTACATTCTTACTTAATTTTTTTGTGTTTTTGGCTATTTTGCCTGCATGTATGACTTTGCACTACATGCATGCCTGGTGCTCACGGATACCAGAAGAGGTCATCAGATCCCCTGGGTTGTGAGTTACTATGTAGGTATTGAAAACTGAACCTGGGTCCTCTGGCAGAGCAGCCAGTCCTTTTTACTGCTGAGCCATGCCTCCATCCCTGAAGTTTATTTTTCAAAGAGGATTGGCTGTGAATTGAGCACTTGGCCAAGGTGTAGTTTTTGAGGATTCCTTCAAATGAGCAGAGAGGCAAAGGGTCGGGTGCCTGTCTCTCGTGGGGAGGTGAGTGCACTTCCAGTTTGTCTGCCAGGTGGATGCAGGATGTATCCTTGGAGGCAGGTGGGGGAAGGGGGCTACATTTGCCTACCCAGTCCGTTTTTTGCACCAGGCCACCCTCCCTTAGGCCCTGACACAGGCTTACTCACTAACATGTCCCAGTCAGCTCAGCCGTGTGCTTTCTCTGTGTCTGAGGTTAGCCCAGTTCTCAGGATTTTACAGCAGAAATCACTTAAACCATCCCTTTCTTAGTCCCACATCAGATGACTGGCGTTTTAGACAGTCAGGAGCAGAGCCACTTTTGAGTGTCCCCCCCTCCCCCATAGACATCCTTCAGTGCAGCCTCCGTTTTCCGGACACACTCACTGACTGGCACCTCCTCCCTGTTGCCTTAAATATCTGTGCCTGCCTCAGAGCTTGCGGGTTTCTCTTGCCACCTGTGCATGGGTTCTGTGTGAGCCAGCAGAAAGATGTGCTGGCCACTTGAGCTGGACTCCCAGCACCACGTTGGTGCCACAGCAGTCCACCCCTTGGCATGTCCCCATCCACAGCTGCTGTCTTCATGAGGCCACAGTGAGCTTCCCGTGCTGGTCTCTTCCAGACTCTCCATGTGCTGCCAACCGGAAGTCTTCTCAGGCTCTGTCACCAGAGTAGCAAACACACAGCTCGAAGGGCCTCCTGCTTTTAGGTCCCTCCTTGCTCTCTTGCAGTATCCCTTATGATCCCCTCTCCTGGAAACCCTTGTGGATCTGCGCTGCAGCATTCTAAGGGTCCAGTGAGCTTTGTCTAGAATATTTCTCAGGCCATTCTTCCAGGCAGAGTAACTGCTTTCTGAATTGGTGTGTGTGTGTGTGTGGGGGGTACCTTTTCCATTTCTGTATGATACTACAGATAAAGTAGCAATTGAAGCGTCGAACTAGACTTCTCTGTCCCTGTCTTATTTCACAAAAGTACATGATGCCAGGGATATGACGGTGGAAACTTAACAGCATAGATTAGAGCCTGATCTATAGCAGTACTTATGTTTCTGTCCGCACACCCCTGAAATACCATTTGTGCAGAGAGCGCAGGAGAGAAAGCGCGGGCACAGCCTGACATTAGTGAGGGAGGAGGCGGACAATAAGTGCTTTGCAGTTGTTGAGTTTCTGTTTTCTTTATAGCCTTTATTCTCAAACTGCCACCTCCCCCTCAGCCAGCTCCTTTAAAAATGTGATACTTTAGAGAATTTTATTCAAATGCCTCCGCTGAGACTTAGAAGCTGTTTTCCTCCCATAGCAACGGAAGGCAGAGGATTGATTGCAATTGTGAACTTTGGGAAGGCATGGCTGCTCATAGTTAACCTTGCTTGCAGCTAAGTTGTTCCCAACAGCGTATAACCGAGATTGGGGCTTCATTTCTGAAAGTCAAAATACAAAGCTGTCTTCTTAGCTATAGAATGTCTTTATTTGTTCCATTCAAGTGTTTCTTTGGTAGTTCTGTCAAGAAAATATAAGAAGGTACTTGGTTCTGACAAATTGAAAAATCTAATGTTGCAGGATCTAGCATATACTGCTGAATTACAATAAACTTTTTTTTCCTGTCCTGTTCCAAAGAAAAGTAGAATTTTCTTTTAAAATACCTGGAGACCAGCTATGAAAGGCATAACAAAAATTAAGCTTTTAATTTTTGTGTGTAGAAAGAAGGCAATGTCATAAAAGCATTTTAAAACTCATAACGATATTTTGGAAGTAATTCTTTGAGGAGTCAGATCTTTAAGTGTATTTGAGAAAGAAAATAATCTAGACATAAGAACAATCTACTTTAAATGCATAGTATTCTTCCCTGTATTTGAACAATTTGTCCAAAACACAATTGGTTCGTGTAGGATTTTTGCCTGTTCACATGTAAGTGGGAATCAGTAGTTTCTTTGTTGGTCGCTATGGAAACCAATCAGCCTATCCTGAAAAGCTCTTAGATCATACAGAGCGATGCCTGTGTCTCAGTGTAGCTCCTCACTGAGCAAGCCAGAGCTGGCTTCTGCCTGCCTCCAGCTCTTGCTTGCCCGGAGCCAGTGAGTGCCATGCAGGTGCAGGACCCATCCCGGAGGCCCTCGGCTGTGCACTTCCTCAGTGCCTTCCTGCAGGGCCGCCGGCACTCCACTTCTGACCCTGTCCTGAGGATACAGCAAGCCCGGCGTGGCTCTGGCTCTGCCACCAAGCTGCTGTCCTCATCTTCTGTCCAAGTGATGGTGGCTGTGTCTTCTGTCAGCCGTACGGAGGGGAATCCAACTTTTCCCGAGAGAAAAAGTAAAACTCTTTCTTATAATTTTCTACCCTTTGTATCTATGTGTAAGGAGTGGTAATAGGCTCCTGTTGTGTCTGTACTTTTAGAGTGTTGACAGGTGATTCTGGGTATGCTTTTGACTCTGCTCAGGCTAAGACCAAATGGATGTATAAGAGGAGATAAAATGATGGCATGATGTGTGGTGGTTTTGTTGTTGTTGCAGGTATAGTTTTAGACAAAATTCACCCTCTTGAAAAAGATGAGCTTTTGCTTTTTCTTCTCTTTACCAGCATAGTATATAGAAATTATTGCATGCGAAAGCTTTTTAATACTACATGAAGGGATTTAAACTGGCTCCCATCTACAATCCTGAGGCAAAATGCAACTGTTTCCCATGTTACTATTCTACTGGGAGGATAGAAGTTTGAACCTTACTTTCCTTGTATATTCTAGAAAATTCAGAACGCCCAACACCAAAGTACACAAAGGTGGGAGAACGTTTACGGCATGTTATCCCTGGACACATGGCATGTTCCATGGCATGTGGTGGGAGAGCATGTAAGTATGAGAACCCTGCACGCTGGAGTGAGCAGGAGCAAGCCATAAAGGGAGTGTACTCCTCCTGGTAAGTATGGCTCTGGGTCTTGCACATCTCTGTAGGATGAAGGAAGCAGGAATGCATGTGAGGATGCATGCTACAGACAGGCAATATGAAGGATTCAGGGGACCCTGCAACCATCCTTGGGTTTACCAGTAGGTTGCCTGTGGGATACTGACCTACTCAACCTTAGTTTCTCATCTGCAAAATGGAAATAACTAAATTCAAAGCCTTTATATTAAGTGAAATGATACTAAAAAATTTCTTTTTTATTTATTGATTTTTATTGAGTTCTACATGCTTCTCTGCTCCTCTCCCTTCTCCCCTTCAACCCTCCCTCCCCCGAGATCCCCATGCTCCCAATTTACTCAGGAGATCTTGTCTTTTTCTTAAATTAATAGATAATTAGATAATTCTTAAATTTCAGAAATTGGTGAAAACAGTAAAAATGTTCAGCTATCCATTTGAGAAAAATCACATGTGTAGTCTTCGGGTTTGGGCAGTTCATCATTCACATCTGAATGTGAACTTATCTGTTATTATGAAATATACTCTAGTGTTCCTTGAAGAAGAGGCACAGGCTGCCGGTTCAGCAGGCAGCCCATAAGATGCTGGCGTGGTTTCTTGTGTTTAAGCACAGTTAATTCTACACTTAAATCATCCTGCCTTTCTTAGTAGCAATGAGCTAGTCAGGTATGCACTGCGGTCTCAAAAATATGGATAATCAGATCATATTTGAGCTGGGCATAGTGGTGACTGCCTTTATTCCCAGTACACAGGGAACAGAGGTAGACAGATCTCTGTGGGTTCAAGGCTAGCTTGGTTTACATAGTGAGTTCCAGGACAGCCAGGGCTATACAGAGAGACATTGTCTCAAAAAACTCAAAAAACAAAATCATATTTGGAACACTCTTAGAATTTACTGTTTAAAAAGAGCTTTGCTCATGAATTATTTTATACACAAGAACCCATTTATTTATTTATTTATTTATTTTTTATTGAAAAAAAATTTTCCGCCTCCTCCCAGCCTCCCATTTCCCTCCCCCTCCTTCCACTCCTCTTCCCCTCCCCCGACTCCTCTCCCCCTCCCTCTTCAGTCCGAAGAGCAGTCAGGGTTCCCTGCCCTGTGGAAAGTCCAAGGTCCTCCCCACTCCATCCAGGTCTAGGAAGGTGAGCATCCAAACTGGCTAGGCTCCCACAAAGCCAGAACATGAAGTAGGATCAAAACGCAGTGACATTGTCCTTGGCTTCTCATCAGCCCTCATTGTCCGCCGTGTTCAGAGAGTCCGGTTTTATCCCATGCTTTTTCAGTCACAGTCCAGCTGGCCTTGGTGAGCTCCCAATAGATCAGCCCCACTGTCTCAGTGGGTGGGTGCACCCCTCGTGGTCCTGACTTCCTTGCTCATGTTCTCCCTCCTTCTGCTCCTCATTGGGACCTTGGGAGCTCAGTCTGGTGCTCTAGTGTGGGTCTCTATCTCCATCCATCGCCAGATGAAGGTTCTATGGTGATATGCAAGATATTCATCAGTATGGCTATAGGATAGGGCCATTTCAGGTTCCCTATCATCAGCTGCCCAAGGAACTAACTGGGGACATTGCCCTGGGCACCTGGGAGTCCCTCTAGGTTCAAGTCTCTTGCCAACCCTAAGATGGCTCCCTTAATTAAGATATATGCTTCCCTGCTCCCATATCCACCCTTCCTTTATGCCAACCATCCCATTTCCCCAAGTTCCCCCCATCCTCCTCTCCTCACTTTTCTCTCCCCATCTCCCTTTACCCCCATCCTAACCCACCCCCAAGATCCCAATTTTTTTTGCCTGGCAATCTTGTCTACTTCCCATAGCCAGGAGGATAACTATATGTTTTTCTTTGGGTTCACCTTATTTAGCTTCTGCAAGAACCCATTTTTAAGATCAGATGTTTGTAGACTGCTTATTTGACTTGCTGTCTCTACTTTTTTTATGTTGAATTTCTGGTACACCTGTTATGACACAGCCTGAGGCACTGTTGTAAGTGTTCTGTATGAGTCATGTGCAGCCTGATGACAGTAATGGCCATGAGGACACCCTCCTGAGTCAGAGTCGGACGAGCAAATGTCCAGCAGAGCACAGCTCACACGAACGCTTTGCTCATGTGTCAGCTCTCCACGTGAGCCTGTCCCGTCCCTGCCCTCTCACACCAGGTTCCATCTTAGTCTTTGGGAGTCCATGTGAGGCTCTACACATTGCTCCAGAAGGGGGAGTTGTCTTTCAGATACTGACCTGCTGGTTTCGTGTCTCTGCTTCTCCTCTGAGATTCATGAGTCACAACTTGCAATGGACTACTTTACACATCTTTCGCCTTCTACTTGATGACAAATTTGAATAAAACAGTAAAGCTGGAGGTCTAATAAGAGCGACAGTCTTTTTATGGCCAGCTGTTCATTGACTCAGTCTGTTTTGTTCATAGATACATTCATAAGCATTTAATTGTAGGACAAGGCACTTTGCTACTAGATGCTTTCAAATTATCACTAATATTCATAAAACCTTATGAGTTGTTAATGCCATTTTATCGATAGCCCAGAGAGATGAATTAATTTGCTTCACAGATAGAAAGCAGAAAAGCAAAAGAGCATTTGAAGTCAGGCCCAACTGACTCTGAATCGCCACCTTCCTTCTTTGCTGAATTACAGCATCTCAGAATTTATTTATAGCCACAGGCCAGGACTTGTGCTCTATTTGTACATCTACATCACCCTGAATTCTCACCCCAACCCTGTGTGTGTCTGGTCTTATTACCCTTTCACACCTCAGGTAACAGCCTCCTAGCTGTCCTCCATTTAGCTGACTGACCACTGTATGGCAAGGTGAAGTGCCCTTCCTGTCCACTAGAATCTCTCTAGAGTCCTTGGAGACCTTTTGTCAGAATCCATAGATGACTTAGGTCTTGAAACCCACCCCTCCAGGGGGCTTAAGGAGCTACAAGGTTTCTCAGAGTTCTATTGTGATGCAGAATTGAAGACAGATCTGTGTAAGAATATAGAAGTTGTTATGACAGGGGAAAGTTGCTGATCCTATCAGGTAGAATGATCTGAGTTTTGCGCATCTCAGCAGTCCATACTATCTTCAGGGTCACCGACAGTATCCTGGCCATGGCTCGCCCGTCCTCTGAGCTGCTGGAGAAGTATCACATCATCGAGCAGTTCCTCGGGTAAGTACTGCAGCCTTCACAGCTGTAGTGAATACGCTAGGCATGCTTTTCTTCCATTGGTTATGGTATCAAGGGAAAAGGATTTTGCTTAAAAAACAGGCCATGAAGAGCTGATTTTAAGAAAAGTTTGAGAGCAATTAATAATGTCTTACTAATGCTGAAATCATTTCTCATGACTCCAGGTTCTTATAACTGATTTCTCGTTTTCTTTGAAGTCACGGCATAAAAACAATCATCAACCTTCAGCGCCCTGGTGAGCATGCCAGCTGTGGGAACTCGCTGGAACAAGAGAGTGGTTTCACATACCTTCCTGAAGCCTTCATGGAGGCCGGCAGTAAGTCCCTTTCCACCCTTGTCAAGGACAGTACTTAGAGACTTTTGTCTCCCGGGCTCTCAGGTTAAAGAGGTAATGCTTATCAATAGAATCTGCACAGTGGTGGGCTTCTGATTTCACTCTAAATGGTGCTACTGTTCTTTGATGTTGCAGTTGCGAGTAGTACAGGGTTTCTTTTTCCTCTAGGAGGGGTTGGGAGGAAATGCTGCAGTAAAAGGCTTCTGTTTAGTTAGAGCCTGTACCTGTCAGACATGATGGCCTCATTATCTCTTTACAGTAGTTGTGTGACTCCACTTAGGATAAGAGGTATCTGCTTGTCTGAGATCACATAGCTTAGAAAGTCCAGTGAGGATTGGAAGTTGAATAATTTTTGGCCCCATAAGAATATGTCCTTGTGGCCAGCCCAGAGCTCCTCACAGGAGCTTTGGAGGAGAGTCCACTCAGCGGGGTTGTTGAAGGCAGGCTGATCCAGATGAGCATGTGGGCTGGGAACGTGTACTTATGAGGCTTATGTCTAGCCAGCTCTAGATATAGAGATAAAGAGGTAGAGATAGAGATATCCAACCATTTATTAACCTTTTAGAGAATTTATAGTATTAAACAAGAATACATGTTATTTACCTCCACCTTAATTTTTAATTCTATTCTAATTCTTTCCATCTGCACTAAAGCAGAAAATAGATAATAAAGAATGTACTTTTAAGAAAAGTTAAACTTACTGGAAATATAAAAATCCTGTTATATGGGCATGGTGGCTCACACCTTTAATCCCAGCACTCAGGAAGCGCAGAGACAGATGCGTTCAAGACTATCCCAGTTTGCATATCAAGCTCCAGGAGAGCCAGGGCTACACTGTGAGTCCCTGCCTCAAGAAATGAAAACAAATAAAAAAGCCTATTATTATAGGCCTGCTTCTTTTTGTTGTTGTTGTTTGTTTCGTTTTATTTTATTTTGATGTTCTCATTTATTAGGGTTTTTCCTTCTTTCCTTGAATTTGGTTTTTTAAATTAATTAATTTTTTACATACCAATCCCATTTCCCCCAACCCCCTCCTCCTGCTGCCTCCCTCCCACCACCCCACCTTCAATCCACTCCTCAGAGAGGTTAAGGCCTCCCCTGGGAAGTCAACTAAGTACAGTCCCCTCTTTGAGACAGGACCAAGATCCTCCCCCTATGCCTAGGCTGAGCAAGGTATATCTCCATAGAGAATGGGCTCTGCAAAGGCAGTTCATGCATTGAAGTTAGATCCTGGTCCCACTGCCAGTGGCCCTATAGACTGCCCAAGCCACACCACTGTCACCCGTATTCAGGGGGCCTATTTGGTCCTATACAAGCTCTCCAGTTGTCAGCCAGGAGTCAGTGATCTTCCGTAAGTTCGGGTCAGCTGATTCTGTGGGTTTCCCCATCATAGTCTTGACCCCTTTGTTTATATTATTGCTCTTTGTCTGGAGCTCTGCCCAGTGGTTAGTTGTGGATCTCTGTATCTGCTTCCATCTGTTTCTGAAAGACACTCTAGCTTCTCTGGGGTTGTGGACTGTGGACTGGTTATCCTTTGCTTTGTGTCTGGTATCCACCTATGAGTGAGTACACACTATATTTGTCTTTCTGGGTCTGATTAACCTCATTTGGAATGTTTTTTTCTAGTTCTGCTCATTTGCATGCAGATTTCAAGATGCCATTGTTTTTTGCTGCTGAATAGTACTCCATTGTGTCATGGACCACATTTTCTGTGTCCATTCTTAGGTTGAGGGGCATCTAGGTTGTTTTCAGGTTCTGGCTTTTACAAATAATGTAAGCCTACTTCTTGAGTGAAATTTCGGCACCTTGTAACTCATTTTCTTCAACTGTCCTTGCAAGTATTTTTAATGCATATTAATTTTGTTTTTCTTTTTCTCTTCCATTGTCTAGTTTATTTCTACAACTTCGGATGGAAGGATTATGGCGTAGCATCCCTCACTGCCATCTTAGACATGGTAAAAGTGATGACATTTGCCTTACAGGAAGGAAAAGTAGCTGTCCACTGCCACGCAGGGCTTGGGCGAACAGGTGAATTCTAGAGAATCAAATTACTGGTGTGTGGGCATACTTAGATATGTAGGAATGAGATTTCCTAATTCTAAAGATACATAGTTTTTAGAATTATAACAAAGATTTTGAATTAAATTAAAGAAATAAAAATATTTGAAGCGTCTTAAGCCTATATAATAGCCATGAATTGAAACCAAGTGGTAGTGATGCACGCCTTTAATCCTAGCACTCAGGGAGGCAGAGGCAGGCAGATCTCTGTGAGTTTGAGACCAGGCTGGTCTACAGAGTGAGTTTCAGGACAGCCAGGGCTACACAGAGAAACCCTGTCTCAAAAACCCTAATAGTAGTAGTAGTAGTAATATTGAATCAATAAGAGTATTCTCAATAATTCAGAGTTGAAAACTCATGTTTTCATGTTTAAACATGTTTCTAAAACTGCTTAATTGATCTGCTTATTAAAATGGAGCACCTCATGTTAATAGTGTTTTTTAAATACTGTTTTCTCTCCTTTTTTAAAAAAAAAAGATTTATTTATTTATTTATTTATTATGTATACAGTGTTCTGTCTGTCTATATGTTTGCTGGCCCAAAGAAGGTACCAGATCTCATTACAGATGTTTGTGAGCCACCATGTGGTTGCTGGGAATTGAACTCAGGACCTCAGGAAGAGTAGTCAGTGCTCTTAACCTCTGAGCCATCTCTCCAGCCCCCTTTTCTCTCCTTTTTTGTTTTGTTTTTTGAGACAAGATTTTTTTTGTGTGTGTGTAACCTTGTCTGACCCGGCTGGTCTTGAACTCACAGATATCCACCTGCCTCTGCTTCTCGAGTACTGGGATTAAAGGTGTGTGCCACCACCACCAGGCAGAAAGACGTTTTTCTTAAAGACTTTTATGTCTGTGCATGTTTACCTGCATGTGTGTCTGTGCACCACATGCAGGCTGGTACCCATGGAGGTCAAAAGGAGGGTGTCTGATTCCCCTGGGACTGGAGCCACAGACCCTTGTGAATACCATGTAGCTGTTAGGAACCAAACCAGCATCTTCCAAGAGCAATAAGTACTCTTAACCACCCAGCCATCTCTCCAGTCCCCCAAATATTTTTCTTAGCTAAAGAGCAACTAGAATAGCAAGTCCTATTCACCTGCCATGCTCCGAGTATTTTGTATTTGCTCTCCTGTGAAGTTGTTAGCAACAGTTGGGGTTGAATGAACTGCAGCTTAGGAAAAATTAAGTCATCTGCTACATTTAGTGAGTGGCAGGCTCAGTGTTCCATTCATGCCTGTCTGGCTCCATGTTTCGTGTCTTCTCTACTTTGGGATTCATAAGAATTGTGTGCTTGAAGAAGACTATTTGTATGTAAAGTTCTATGTGAAAGTCAGTGGCTTTATACAAACACTCAGCAAACTTTATTAACTGCTGGTCTGATAGTAAAAATAAAAGGGATGGGGTCAATAGTTTGATTGTCATGTGATTTAGTCAGACAAAACCATCCCAGTGTATATGGGATTCCCTACCTACCTAGGAGCACCCAGGTTAGAATTGAACTCATGTAAATATTAGCAACTCTTAGGATAAAGCCAAAATATCTTTGTTCCTGGACATTGCATGGTTTAGCTCTGCAGATATTCATCTTTATACCAAAGATCTGCTGTGTCCCCATGAGAGAACTATATTGTATTCACTGCAAACTAGAGGACATGCAGTTCTCAGAGGTTCTGATTTTCATGTGTAACTAGATGTTCACAAATCTAGGACTTGTGTGGGTGTCTTTGATTTGCCTTTATTTGTTAGCTATTGTATTATAATTAATTGATTATGAATTTTTACCAATAAGGAACTAATGAAAATTAGTCATTATACTATTGCAGCTGACATCCTTCATAGTATTTGCTTATGTAACAGAGTTATAGCCTGGTGCGGAGAAAAACACATATTAGTATAGACATGGTTTGGAAGAATTGTCGGGCAGAGAAGTGAATCTGTGAACGTAGATAATCCCAAAGCAAAACCTTCCCAATCTGGGAGAAGGCTCAACAAGAATATCTTGTCAGTGGATGCCAGAGATGTCAGAGCAGGAAGTTCAAGGGCAGAGTGGGTGGTGGATTGGATGTAAACGTCAAGAACTGTTGCCCCTGAATGCAGAAGCACAGTTTGGTTTCCTTCCATGTCAGAATTAGCCAGGAGGAGACTGTGCCAGACCCTTAGCTTACTTCCGAAGCCCTTCTCACTTGAGCACCCCGGCACCTGCCAGCTGTGTGCTAGCTCCTCTCTGGGGTGCAGAGCTGACTCAGTCACAGGAAGGAACTGCCACAGAGATGAGGAGAAGTCTTAGCAGTAACAACTGCTGGAGGGGTTGGGATTTAGCTCAGGTGGCAGAGTGCTTGCCTAGAATACAGGAGGTCCTGGGTCTGATACCCAACCAGTACTTCATAACACCAGCCTGGTGGTGTACACTTGTAATGCCAGCACTTGGACGGTGGAGGCCAGAGAGTCATTCTTGCCTATACACAGAGTTCCAGTCCAGCCTACATGAGTCCCTGTATTAAAAAAAAAAAAAAAAGCAGCCAGGCGATGGTGGCGCACGCCTTTAATCCCAGCACTCGGGAGGCAGAGGCAGGCGGATCTCTGGGAGTTCGAGACCAGCCTGGTCTACAAGAGCTAGTTCCAGGACAGGCTCCAAAAGCTACAGAGAAACCCTGTCTCGAAAAAAAAACAACAACAACAAAAAGGCAATAAAAAACTGGCAGATGTCATTACTATCTTTCAAATATGCTTTCTTAACATATGATTTATATGATTCTTAAGTTTTAAATCATCAAAGACTGATACATAAATGAGCCTTTTCTCATACTAATCTTCTTTACTGTGTAGGTGTTCTAATAGCATGTTACTTAGTTTTTGCAACAAGAATGACTGCTGACCAAGCAATTATATTTGTGCGAGCAAAACGCCCCAATTCCATACAAACCAGAGGGCAGCTGCTTTGTGTACGGGAATTCACTCAGTTTCTGGCTCCACTCCGAAATATTTTCTCTTGCTGTGATCCCAAAGCACATGCCGTTACCCTAGCTCAGTACCTGATTCGCCAGCGTCATCTGCTTCATGGTTATGAGGCACGACTTCTAAAATATGTGCCAAAGATCATCCACCTGGTTTGCAAGCTCCTGCTCGACTTGGCTGAGAACAGGCCAGTCGTCATGAAGAGCATGATAGAAGGACCTGGACTCTCTGCTGAAATTGAAAAGACTGTGTCGGAGATGGTTACGATGCAACTGGATCAAGAGCTACTGAGGCAGAGCAGTGACGCACCTGACCCGTTTCACCCCACTGCAGTGGTGGCCGAGTTCGAGGATCAGGATGTAAGCCTTTCTAATGAGCATGACCTTGACCCCCTCTGGAAAAGGAGGAATGCTGAGAGTCTTCACCCCCTGACACATCTGAAAAGGCAGCTCAGCTACAGTGACTCAGACTTAAAAAGGGCCAAAGCTATCCTGGAGCAAGGGGAGACACCTTGGACAGTACCTGCCCAGAACTTGCTAGACCACAGCCTCCAGCATCAGAAGCATATCAGCCATTGTTACATGTCACCGACTCCAGAGCTAGGTTTAAATAAGGAAGCATTGGTTCACAGTACATTTTCTTTCTGGACTCATTCAAAGTGTGGAGGCTTAGAAGGACTCAAGGATGAGGGATCACCACTTTTCTGTAGGAAGGACATTCCAAAGGAAGTACAGCGGAGCAGAACCTTCTCTGTGGGTGTTTCCTGTTCACACAATCCTGGAGAACCAGTGCCACCCAACTTTGCAAGTATCCCTAGGGGTCCAGAGCAAATCACTCACTGTCGGGGTGAAGCTCCTTGTGGTTGGGTTCCAGGCTCTGTTCAGGGGGAAGGGAGGACTCCCTGCAGCCCTCTAAACTGTGGCTCCTCCAGTCCTAAGGCACAGTTCCCACATGGACAGAAAATCCAAGACAGCACCTACCTGTCGGAAGCAATGCCACATGCTGGTTTGCAGTCTGAACTGAGCACTGAAGCAAGGAGAATATTGGCAGCCAAAGCCCTTGCAAATTTAAATGAGTTTGTGGAAAAGGAGGAAGTGAAAAGGAAAGTGGAAATGTGGCAGGTATTTGTATTTCATTTAAATATATATGTACTTATATATTTATATGGAGTGTGTGTGTGTAGAATATATATATATATATATATATATATAACATATAGAAATGGTTTTGTCAGACCAAAAGTATGTGACACATTTTCATAAACTTCTTTATTACAGAAATGAGAAGCCAGGAACTTGAGGTTCCCAAGTATGATGTGAAGCAGATGTAGAAGTGACCCAGGGTGTTTGTGTAGTTCCAGTTAGATTCTGTGTTCAAGAACATATCTAGTGTGATGCTTGCTCCATACATGATGTTAATGTTAGTAGCTTTCTCCTAGGGGCAGTCAAGTCCACAGAAGATGATGTTAGGACCTGGTCTGCAGTGTTTTTCTGACTGAGGACCTGGAACAGGGAACCACATTTGGGAACCACTGGTCGAGTGATTAAAATAAAGTTACTTCCCAAAGCTTCTTGGTACAAGTGGTGAGTCAGGCCTGCCTTCCTGGCCTGCTCTCTCACAGATTTGCTGGCCTCATCTCAATGGTGTCACTTGAGGCTTAGAGATAGAAAATGAGAATGAGCCCAGTGATCTGTTACATCTAAGAGGAGGACTCGAAAACCCATTTCTCGGCTCTTATTTAGAATGTGAAGTTTTATATTTTAACTCCTTTTGTGTGTGTGTGTGTGTGTGTGTGTGTGTGTGTGTGTGCATTTTACTCTTCGTAGGAAAGCAGTCTTCGGTTGTACTTCCTCTCCTGGGATGAGCACCTTGTCTAGAGAAAAGATGGGTCCCTAGAAACTCAGTTAGCAGAAACAGGAAACCAGCCCCAACGTGGAACTGACCTGGGCTTTTTGATTCAGAGAAATCCTGAATTGGCAGCCATACTCTTCTATGGATTACTTGAAAGATTTCATTTTATATTATAATTGTGTGTATTAGGAGGTTATGTACAGTGGCATGGAGGTGCCCTCAGAACAGAAGAGACTGTCTGATATCCCTGGAGCTGATGATGTGAGTGCTGGGAACTGAACTCAGGTCCTCTGGAAGCACACACTCTTAGCCGTGAGCCATCTCTTCAGGTCGTGCTATTAAAGTAATTGCTACTCTTCCATGTACCACGATGTATAGAACCAAGGACCTGAAACTTCTATAAGCTAGGATATCTTCAGAGGTAGGAACTTATGTTTGGAGCTCTTAACAACTTACAGTATGCAACAGAAGAGAGAACTGAATTAGAGTATTTACCTAATTAAAAACTCAAATATTGTTTTCCTTTTAAATAAATTTTCTTTATTCCCCACTATAAACCGAAATAGAAAAAAACCTGTCATTTAGACAGCAGATATTTCTCATGCAGTATTCTATGCTGAGAGCTAACAAGTAAGAGGACCCTAGTGCTAAGAATGTCACGGTGCCACTCCCAGGTCAACCCTGCACGTCCCTCAGCCAAGTACCCACACAAGCTGAGAAAATGCAGGTTTGGGTCAGGTGCTGTCAGCTATACTTTTAATCAAGCACTCAAGCCAAGAGAGATCAAATCTTTACAAATTCAAGGCCAGCCTGGTCTACATAGGGAGTTTCAGACCAGCCAGGGCTATAGAAAGAGCGTGCCTCAGACAACAACAAAAATGGGCAGGTTTCATTTGAGGTAGGCTATTTCAACATGTAACATGTATAAAGAGCATTTTCTGGAACCACAAACCTTTTACTTCTTACCTTCTTAGTTTTATTTTAGGACTGTGAGCAAGACTGTACTCTGGGAAAACAGTGCAGTGTTGTGTGTGCCTACACTGAGCTGTTTTGTGAGCATGCCTTGTGCTTTTCACAGAGCCCCTAGATGCAGGTGGTCTGTTTAGGAACTCAGAGTCACAGGTGAGGGTTAAGAACTCCAGAGGTTTGGGCTGGAGAGATGGCTCAGTGGTTAAGAGCATTGCCTGCTCTTCCAAAGGTTCTGAGTTCAATTCCCAGCAACCGCATGGTGGCTCACAACCATCTGTAATGAGGTCTGGTGCCCTCTTCTGGCCTGCAGACATACACACAGGCAGAATATTGTATACATAATAAATAAATAAATATCTAAAAAAAAAAAAAGAACTCCAGAGGTCAAGTGGCCACTCAAGGCTGTGGTTCATGCGGCAGTACGTATAGGCAAGCTCTCCTCACAGCTCTGCCTCACTGGGAAGCTTCCTGGTGCAATGCTCATTTCACTAAGACAGTTTTTGTTCTGCCCAGTTATCTCCTCATATAGCCCTGAGATGAAATAAAAGCTCTCCTTTTCTGTACACAATAATGAGATAGGCAGGAATATAGACAATTCCAAGTATGAACTTATTTATATGATAAAGAGAAGCGAGCACTGGAGGGTTCCTAGGCCATGGCCCACGCAGTAAGGCAAGTCAGTGGAGTGCCTCCCTGCCAGTTGCTAGCCTTGAGCTCTGCACAATTTACTGTATCCATCTTAGTGTTTATCTGTGGGGAGCCTTCCTGTTGGGTACTGTGAAACTGGAAATAAGTCTTGTATTCTAAGTCTTCTGTTACCATTTCTACCACTTTGTGGTACAGGCTACACGGTTTACTGGGTAACCAAATGGATATTAACAACTACTGTGTTTTTGACTATTGCAAAGTTTTATTTGATTTACCAAAACATAAATCTGATCCCTGTCAGAAATTTCTTAACTCTTCTTTGTAAGGTGAAGTCTTCAATTCTCGTGTGAGGCTGTCATTAGAGTTGACTCCTCCAGGTCCCTAGGCTCACATGATAGATAGAGAAGAGGAGCCGCACAGCGCTGCTTCTGACCTCCACACATGCGCAGGCACATACACGGATACACTGACCTGTCTGCAGATCTTGGGGAGTGTTCGCAAGGCTTCCCACTTGTTTTTACCCTCCCAGATCTCAGGCTGCCAGGCTTATTACTTCATCTGTAGGATTCTCTGTAGGGTTCTAAAAGGCACTTTCAGAAAAACACTCCACATTTGCCAACTTTCATGCAATTTTCTGTGTGTGTGTGTGTGTGTGTGTGTGTGTGTGTGTTTAAAGGCTTAGCTGAGGCCCCAGGCTAACTTATAAATGCTCCCCTAGTTTTAATCTACGATTTTACTTCATTTGCAGCCTGAATTTCTGTTTTGTTTATCAGATGCCTGAGAAAGAAGACTGCCTCTTGAACTGCATCTGTGGCCTCTGAATCGGAGTCAGGGCTGCATGCTTCAGTGGCTCTTCTCTCAGTAGTTAGCCTGCTCTGTTTGTGACAGGGATGCGATTAGCCAGGCACCCCTACCTAGAGGTGCAGGCCCTGAAGAAGGTCCACATTGCACACCAGAGCCCAGCCTTCACTGTTAAGTCACTTGTGGATCCTCCAGTAAGGCTCCATACACCTCTCTTTCCCCTGGCCATCTCTCTCTCCCTCTTCCTTTGCAGAAAGAATTGAATTCCCGGGAGGGAGCCTGGGAAAGAATATGTGGTGAGAGAGACCCTTTCATCTTGTGCAGTTTGATGTGGTCTTGGGTGGAGCAACTGAAAGAGCCTGTAATCACCAAAGAGGATGTGGACATGTTGGTTGACAGACAAGCAGATGCTGGTGATGCCCTGTTTTTACTAGAGAAGGTAAAGTAGCTATCGGGCCAGCTAATAAGTTAATTAAGGCCCTCACACATGTGCAAAAAAAAGAATGAAAATATTATTTTGGTCTATTTTAGTGGGGTTTTTTTTTCTTTTTTCCCCTTAATTTTGTATAAACGGTCTGGCTTCTGTGTGTTTATGTGAATGCAATGCTTGCAGAGGACACAAGAGGGCATCCCATCCCCCTTGAACTGAAGTCACAGACCCTTGTGAACCACCTGCTGTGGGTTCTGGGAACTGAACTCAGGTCCTCTGCAAGAGGAGCACATGTTCCTAACCACTGAGTCATCGCTCCAGTTCCCCATTTTTTTAGTAGTTTTTCTAAAATAAGAGAAATCGGGGCTGGAGATGTAGCTCAGTGGTAGAGAAATAGCCTAGTGTGTACAAGCCCTGTGTTTGATCTACAACATTGTAGACACAGAGAAATTGATACACAACATAGACATTTAGAAAATACAGAAATGGCAGTGAGTACTTGTAATCCCAGCATTCAGGAGTCACATCTCTCCGAGTCTGACGACAGCCTGGTCTACATAGTGAGCTCTAGGCCAGCCAGGGCTACATAGTGGGACTCTGTCCCAACAAACAAACCAAAACAAACTGTATGATTTTTTCATGAACGGGTGACCATCTCAGTAACCATAATGAGCTTGTTTGGCTCTTACGTGGGTTACATTATAACTAAACACCTCTTCAAAGTGTCTGTTTCTGCTTACTGGGAGTATGTGTCTATAAAAACTAAAATGGAGATTGAAATATATACTCCTTGCTATTTTTAAAGATGTATATGTGCATATGTCTATATAGCTTGTATGTGTGCGTATGTCTATATAGCTTATATATGTATAAAATAGAAAAGAGTATCAGGAGGCTATACACTGGTTCTGATGTTTGCCATCAGGGATGTAGGAAGAGAGGGAAACTGCTTTTCATTGTAGCTTCTGCCATACAATTTAGCATTTTTAACCACATAAAAATAGAAGTGTTTTAGTTCAAAATAGGCTTTGCTTTTGTTTTGGGGAACAATGCTGGCTGTTAGCCCACCATGCTACAGCGTAAGCATCTCACTCATTGCCTCCAAGTCTTCAGAAAATATGTGACTGTGTCTGCTCACACAAGCTACTGTCACGGTATGTCCACAAACACACATGAAGGTATATCCCCTCACACATGGATATCAAGATATAAAACAGAGGGACAGATGCTGTGTGGTGTAACTGCTTGCTTGCTTACATGTGTGGGCACACATTTGTGCGTGTATGTGAAGGCCTAAGATTGATGTCAGCTGTCTTCCTCCATCTCTCTACCTTCCTGGTAGCCAGCATGTTCTCGGGATCCCATCTCTGCCTCCCTGACTGTTTACACCAGGCCTGTCATGCCCACCAGGCTTTCTACATGGGTTCTAGAAGTCTGAATTCTAGTCATCAGGCTTTCACAGCAAGCACTTTACCTGAGCCATCTTCCCAGCCCTGTGTACACCTTTTAAGATAAGATTTTTTCCCAGTGTCTAGAATTCTTGGGATATTTTCTCAGTCGTTAAATTTCAGCGATCAAACAGGAAGTAATAGGAAAGAGATTAGCCTTGTTTGGCAGCTGTGGACAACCCTGTCAGGAAGTAATGGCTACTTTTTCACCCTGTTCATCTTGACAGTGCTTAGAACGAAGGCCCCTTTTATAGACAAGGCAAGGTAGAGCAGTTGCCCCAAGTTTACGGCAGGTGTTCTCGCAGGGTTCCAACTTGGATCCTACTGGGCGAGGCTCACGCACTGAGGCGCATCAAGCCGTCTGCTTTACTACACCCATTCCAACTCCTGGGTACAATTATTTTGCACCAAGGATTTTTACTTTTATAAACATCTTTGTAACAATAATCTGTCTTCACAGGCTTTTCTGTATTTCAGATTATTCCCTTAGAATAGATTTCTAGAGGAGATGTTGGTGGTTGGCCTCAGTGAGTCCCATCTACATACATACATACATACATACATACATGCATGCATATATATACACATACATACATACATACATACATGGTGATGGTTTTTTTTCCTTTGCTAGGGTAGAAGATCCCTAGCATTCTCGTCAGCAGACCCTTCCTACAGCATCTACCTACAGCTGCCTCCTTACATCTCTGTTGCCACTGGGGGGCTCCGTCTGCCCATCTTCCCAGACAGTGTCTGCAGTGAGCTGGGTGCACGCACGGTACTGTCTGCCTGGTGCCCAAGTGAGCTGTGCACTCAACTGCAGCATCAGTTGACCAAGCTGAACTGATTATAGCCAGAAACAGTAGGAAAGAAAGGTCTATTCTGAGCACTGCAGGAGAAGCATGTGGTTTAAAACCATACCAAACTTGAGATAAATCAACTAGCTCTGACCCATTTCATGAAGTTTCCGTGCCATATTAATATATACAGTAAACACCTGGCTGAGTGCTTGATGAACAGCCTTTAAAACTGAGTGCTAAGTCATAGAGCTGGATAGCCAGAAGCTCCCTCTATAATTATTTGAGCTGATTTCTTGAGATATTTTCAAATTAATTTTTTTTTATTTTTTATATCTGGAAAAAATGAAACAGGGTCAGTACCAGACCATCCTCTGTGTGCTGCATTGTATAGTGAGCCTGCAGACAATTCCTGTGGAGGTGGAGGAAGCGTGCCTTTCACATGCCATCAAAGCTTTCACCAAGGTGAGTTCTGTGCCCCCACGCTGGTCACACCAGCTTTGTAAGCCAGGACTTCTCAGGTAAGACTCCGAGCTCTTTTCCTTAATGCGCATGTGTTTTATAAGAAGTCAGGGAGTTTCCTAACAGTGGTGTCAGGACAAAGCTGAACTGCCAGGTAGTTGAAGGGCAGTGTCGGAACAAAGAGCTTTTATAGAGCCAAAGAGAGAAACAGCTGAGTATTCAGCAAGTATTTTAAATCTTGTTCCTCATAGGAGTCAGGGGTATTTGCTTGTCAGTTCCCCCTTGTGTTTAAACAAGGATCGTCTAAGCAGAATAGTCAGGTCAGTACCCACAAAAACATTAAATGCATGGTTCCAGGAGTTTAATTCTGACCCGTGAGCCTTGGGAATGCCGCACCCGGACACTGAAAATCAAGTAGCGCAGTGTCCTGGATCCTTCTTTGTGTAAAGACAAGCAATTTGTGGTGGTGAGATGCTGCGCCCAAGATGTTGGCTCCTTTTCAGTAGGACCCGCCTTACTCTGGGGACAGTGCAGGGACTGCTCTAGTTCCCTGTCTGCCAGCATCACTCCTCGGCAGAGAATGACAGGCATGGCAGAGGCCCCAGGTGTGTACACAGTGCGTTTCCAGGAGAGAGGGGACCCTCAATCTCACTGAGGTTTTTTTGTGTACACAACACTTGCAGGTGCCAGATTTCATTTAAACTCACAGAGATCTTAAGGCGGTAGGTTTAGGGCTTTATATTTTCACATAAGGAAATTGAAGCCCATGTACCAGTGGCTCTCAGTCTGACCCCTTTGGGGGTCCCATAGCAGATATTTACACTACGACTCATAACAGTGGCTAAATTACAGTTATGAAGTAGCAATGAAGTAATGTCATGGTGGCGGTCACCACAACATGAGGAGCTGAAATAAAGGGTCTCAGTATTAGGAAGGTTGAGAACCGCCACCACAAACACTACATGAAAGGTGGAGATACACAGGGACAGGTGGAAAGCCAGACAGTGAGGTCTTCAGACTGCAGTCCAGAGTGGCTTAGGGCTTCTGAACACCATACAGAGCAGCTGGTGTACTTCCTTTGGATAAGAGACTTCTGTTGCAACATGAATGACTCTGAGCTCCCGTTCACTGCTCACTTCCGTGCTGGCCAGCTGTGTGGATTGTAATCTCGGCACTGGAGTGCAGGTTTGAGTTCTTACTCTCAGGTTTGATTGATGAGATCAATAGCTCTAACATAGCCCTTCGGGGAAAGAAACCCATCCTGTATGGTTTTAACTGCATGCATTTCTAAGTCAATTGATGTATTTGCTGAGTCCTTCCTTCCTTCCTTTGCAAGCAGAAACTGGTTAAATTGTTGCCACAGTGTCTTAAATAGAAATATTCTTTGTCACTAGGTTAATTTTGACTCTGAAAATGGACCAATAGTTTACAACACCCTGAAGAAGATATTTAAGCACACATTGGAAGAGAAAAGAAAAATGGCAAAAGACAGCCCTAGGCCTGGCCTCTCCTGAAGCTTCCTTCTCTGGACAAGTATCCGTCCTAAGGGTCCATCCCACCTAAGGGTGGCGCTTCTGCTCCCGTGTGGACGTGGCATGCCGGCACTGCCCTTCCTTGCCACACTTTGTTGTCAACGCTGTGTCTCTTGTGCTGAGAATAGTGGTTCCTTTTTAGAGTAGTTATTTATTTTAAAATATCCTTGAGCTGTGTCTTGAAAACTTGCCATAAAGTTGGTGCCACTTTATTTATTTACTGAATTAATATAGTTGTACTGACATTTTATGTATATTTGTGTCCTTACTCTTTTTGACATTTTGAAGGAAAAAAAATAACTCTTCCTTCCAAAACAGTTATTTTCTTAACAGAACTCTTCCTGGAGTTTCTACCAAATAGATCATTTTAGCAGTAAAACCTTACTATATACCCCCCCACGCCAGGCATATATGTGTCCCCTTCATCAGAACTATGACCTAAGAAAGTCACCAAGTGTCTTAAAATGTTTTATATTTGTTACTAAGAAGGCTATTAATACATTTTAAAGAACTTTAAAAAACTTTGAAGTTTTTTTGTTTTCTTTTCTCTTTTTACAGATGTGGCAAAGCCTTTCAAAGTCTGTTATTTTTCAATGATCCAACGATTCAGTTTTCTTTAGTAGACTGACTGGAGAGGTTGGGACTTGGTACTTATGGAAAGTAGCCCTGCTCTCTGTCAGGCTCCAGACACCTTCTCCTTTGGCTGTCCGAGGAGGGAGCCGCTCTCAACCCAGAAGCCTTATTTCACTTTCCCAGCCTGCTGCTCAGCCAGTTCGCTTCTTTTCAGAGAAGTGGGATCAGAAGCCACCACTGGGGGCAGTTGCTAAGGAGCAGAACTGGCCTTTGTCCTCCCAGGGACTGTGCAGAAGGGACTGCAGCTCTGGGAGAAGGCTCCTGGCCAGCCCTGCTCTCTTGTGGCACTGTGACCATTCTGACAGGGAGCTCAGACCTGGAGTAGTGGCATTGCTGGCTGTGCACCCCCCACCCCCGGCCCACTGTCTGCCCCAGGACTAGTGGCATTGCTGGCTGTGCACCCCCCCCCTGCCCTTTTATAAGCCCATTTGCCTCAGCCTCTGATACTAGCTGCAGTTTTGCTGTGAGGATTATAATTTTTAAATTGAATTTGACCCCAGGTTGAATTCACCTTAACTGGCTTCAAATGAGAACAGATGACTGTTTAAACTTGTTCCTTTAATCTATTAATCAGCAATTGAAGCCTAACTTATTTAAATTAATATACAGGAGCTGCAAAACCCACGCCATAAAGAGAATCAGACCAATTCAAGCTAAAGAAGAACTTCTTTAGCTGAGATGCTAAAGAAGCATCTCAGAATTTTAGGAAAGACACAAGACTGAATTAGAACAACTGAAATTTCCCTAATTTGTGCCTTGCTGAATTACACTCTAGTATATCAGAAACTTTTAATCATTATTCTTACAACTCTGATGGCAAAGGCTGAGTTCAGGCCTCTTCACCCTGAAGTGTCTTCAGGGGAAATAAAATATAATAGTTGTTAATAAACTGGCTTACCCAGTGTAGAGATACCTTTTTAAGTGCCTAGCTAGCAGCAGGAAATACCTTCATTCTGTCTCCTTGGTACATTCTCAAATCTGGAGTTCAAAGAGTGTTTGTCTTCATCTCTGTCAGCCTCGAATGGGCAAGCGACACCATGGAACTTCACCACCCTCCCTTCTCAAAGCCAGCTGCGCCTGTGCATCTGGAGCGCTTGTCGTAAGTTCTAGAACAGTCATGTGATCACGCCACTGCATGTCAGAGAATCCAAATACACCAGCCTGAGAAGACAAATCAGGCTCTGTACGGGTGTTGTGTTTATTTGAATAAAGATGAAAAGAACAAGTGCTGCCCTGTCTTGTGCTTCTTTACTGTAGCGGCCCTGGCCATTGCGCACTCCAGCGATGCTGGTAAGCCTTTGCTGGGAGCTGATTTAGTAGCTGAGTTAGCTAGCCATGCTCACCTTCTGTTGGAGAGACCAGGTTGGAGAGTGGCTTCTATAAGGAATGGTTTAAATCAAAATCCAGGTGGACAAGATTCTAGCCTTCCTCTTCTTTCTTTTTTTTTAAATTGTTTTTATTGAGCTATATATTTTTTTCCCTCTCTCCTCTCCTCCCCTCCTACTCTCCCCCATGGTCCCCATGCTCCCAATTTACTCAGGAGATCTTGTCTTTTTCTACTTCCCATGTACATTAGATCCATGTATGTCTCTCTTAGGGTTCTCTTTGTTGTCTAGGTTCTCTGGAACTGTGAATTGTAGGATTTTTTTTCCTTTATGTCTAAAAGCCACTTATGAGTGCATACATGTGATATTTGTCTTTCTGAATCTGGGTTAACTCATTCAATATGATGTTTTCTAGATCCAGCTACTTGCCCAAAAATTTCAAGATGTCATTGTCTTTTATTGCTGTGTAGTACTCCATTGTGTAAATGTACCACATTTTCCTTATCCATTCTTCAGTCGAGGGGCATTTAGGTTGTTTCCAGGTTTTGGCTATGACAAACAATGCTGCTATGAACATAGTTGAGCACATGTCCTTGTGGTACGATTGAGCATCCTTTGGGTATATACCCAAAAATGGTATTACTGGGTCTCGACATAAGTTATTTCCTAATTTTCTGAGAAATTGCCATACTGAAATCCAAATGGGCTGTACCAGTTTGCACTCCCACCAGCAATGTAGATATGTTCTGTTTATCCCACATCCTCTCCAGCATAAGTTGGCATCAGTGTTTTTAATCTTGGCCATTCTTACAGGTGTAAGATGGAATCTCAGAGTTGTTTTGATTTGCATTTTTCTGATGGTTAAAGATGTTGAGCATTTCTTTAAATGTCTTTTAGTCATTTTAGATTACTCTGTTGAGAGTTCTCTGTTTAGGTCTGTACCCCATTTTTTATTGGATTATTTGTTTTCTTGATGACCAATTTCTTGAGTTCTTTGTATATTTTGGAGATCAGACCTCTGTCTGATGTGGGGTTGGTGAAGCTCTTGTCCCATTCTATAAGCTGTCATTTTGTCTTGTTGACCATGTCCTTTGCTTAACAGAAGTTTTCTGTTTTAGGAGGTTCCACTTATTAATTGTTGCTCTCAGTGTTTTGTGCTACTGGAGTTATATTTAGGAAGTGGTCTCCTGTGCCACTGCTTTCAAGTGTACTTCCCACTTTCTCTTCTATGAGATTCACTGTGGTCGGTTTTATGTTGAGGTCTTTGATCCATTTAGACTTGAGTTTTGTGCACGGTGGTAGATATGGATCTATTTTCATTCTTTTATATATTAATACCCAGTTATGCCAGCACTATTTGTTGAATATATTTTCTTTTTTCCATTTGATATTTTTTGCTTCTTTGTTGAAAATCAGATGTTCATAGGTGTGTGAATTGTTATCTGGGTCTTTGTTTCAGTTCCATTGGTCCTTCTGCCTGTTTTTATGCCAATACCAGGCTGTTTTCAGTACTGTAGCTCTGTAATAGAGTTTGAAGTCAGGGACTGTGATGCCTCCAGAAGTTCCTTTATTGTACAGGATTGTTTTGGCTATCCTGGGCTTTTTGTTTTTCCATATGAAGTTGAATGTTGTTCTTTCAAGGTCTGTGAAGATTTTATTGAGATTTTGATGGGCATTGCATTGAATTGGTAAATTACTTTTGGTAAGATTGCCATCTTTACTATGTTAATTCTACCTACCCAAGAGCATGGGAGATCTTTCCACTTTCTGGTGTCTTCTTCAATTTCTTTCTTCAAAGATTTAAAGTTCTTCTCATATAGGTCTTCCAATTGTTTGGTTAGAGTTACTGCAAGATATTTTATGCCATTCATGGCTATTGTGAAGGGTGATGTTTCTCTGATTTCTTTCTCAGCCCATTTATCATCTGTGTAAAGGAAGGATACTGATATTTTCAAGTTAATCTTGTATCCTGATACATTACTGAAGGTGTTTATGAGTTGTAGAAGTTTCTTGGTAGAATTTTTGGGATCACTTGTGTAAACTATCATATCATCAACAAATAATGAGAGTTTGACTTCTTCTTTTCTGATTTGTATTCCCTTGTTCTCCTTCTGTTGTCTTATTGCTTTAGCCAGAACCTCAAGTACTTTATTGAATAGATATGGAGAGAGTGGACAACCTTGTCTTGTTCCTGATTTCAGTGGAATCGCTGTGAGTTTCTCTCGTTTTAGTTTGATGTTGGCTGTTGGCTTGCTGTATATTGCCTTTATTATGTTTAGGTATGTTCCTTGTATGCCTGCTCTCTCCAAGACCTTTATCATGAAGGGATGTTATATTTTGTCAAAGGCTTTATCATCATCTAATGAGATGATCTTGTGGATTTTTTCAGTTTGTTTATATGGTGAACAAAATATATCAATGACAAATTTTCATATGTCGAACCATCCCTGGGATGAAGTTGACTTGGTCATGGTGGATGATTTTTCTGATGAGTTCTTGGATTCGATTTGCCAGTATTTTATTGAGTATTTCTGCATCAGTGTTCATGAGGGAGATTGGTCTGTAATTCTTTCTCTTAGTAATCTCTTTTTGTGGTTTGAGTATCAGGGTAATTGTAGCCTCATAAAAAGAATTTGGCAATGTTCCTTCTGTTTCTATTGTGTGGAACAATTTGAGGAGTATTGGTATTAGTTCTTTTTTGAAAATCTTGTAGAATTCTGAGCTGAAACCATCTGGCCCTAGGCTTTTTTTTTGGCTGGGAGACTTTTGATGACTGTTTGACTGTTTCTATTTCTTCAACAGTTATAGGTCTATTTAATTTACTTATCTGGTCTTGATTTAATTTTTGTTAATTGATATTTATCCAGAAAGTTGTCCATTTCCTTTAAGTTTTTCCAGTTTTGTGGAATACAGAATTTCAAAATATGACCTTATAATTCTCTGGATTTCCTCCGTGTCTGTTGTTATGTCCCCCTTTTCATTTCTGATTTTGTTAATTTGGATAGTCTCTCTCTGCCTTTTGGTTAGTTTGGATAAAAGTTTGTCTATTTTGTTGATTTTCTCAAAGAACCAACTCTGTCTCATTGATTCTTTGTATTGTTTTCTTTGTTTCTATTTTGTTGATTTCAGCTCTCAATTTGATTATTCCCTGCTATCTACTCAGTCCTCCTGTGTAAGTTTGCTTCTTTTTGTTCTCTAGTTTTCAAATGTTCTGTTAACTCACTAGTGTGGGTTTTTTTCCCGCTTCTTTACGTAGTCATGTAGTCCAATGAACTTTCTCTTAACACTGCTTTCATTGTGTCCCATAAATTTGGGTATGTTGTGTTAGCCCTCCATTTCCTAATAAAGAAAGGGTTCCTTCCAGCAAATGGATGGTATTTTCACACATTGGAGAAGTTTTAGGGTTGCATTGGAAGCAGTTTCATGAAGTTTTATCATTTTAAAGAACAAAGAAATTAATAAATGAAGGTAAGTTTAAAGCACACTGGTGGATACATCAGAGTCAAATTCAGCAAGATGGGGGAAGATTTTCTTTTAATTTTATTTATCATATATGCAGTGTTGTGCCTG